TTTAGACCCTGAATATTTTGGATATGCATGGTAGAGTAAGTAGAGAATTATAGAACAGTACAGCAGCTATTGTAGTGATAATACAATATTGCACAGCTGTGAATAATATGACATAGTAGAATTGTTTTAAAGGACCACTATAGGCACCCAGACCACTTCAGCTTGATGAAGTGGTCTGCGTGCCAGGTTCATCTAGGATTAACCCTTTCTACTGTAAACATAGCAGTTTCAGAGAAACTGCTATGTTTACCTATGGGTTAATCCAGCCTCTAGTGGCTGTCTCACAGTGAGAAGACACCAGCGTCCATAGGAAAGCATTGAGAATGCTTTTCTATTAGACTGGCTGAATGCGTGCGCAGCTCATTCAGCCGATGACGTGGAAAGGAGGAGGAGGAGAGCCCGGCGCTGGAAAAAGGTAAGGGATTAACCCCTTCCTCACCCTAGAGCCCGGAGGGAGGGGGACCCAAGGACCCTATAGAGCCAGGAAAACGAGTATGTTTTCCTGGCACTATAGTGATCCTTTAAAAAGAATGTACCTAGTCAATTGACTAGGTACACATGTGCGTTGCGGGGTTATTCAGTCGTAAGGGTATCAGTAACGACTGTTGCAATGCCCTTGTGAACTTTCATGCATTGGTCCGCGCGGACAGTGCTCTGATTGGAGCGGTTGTCCGTGAGGGCGCTCTGGTGCGGGAAAAACCACAATATATAACATGATATATAAGGCACCAGAAGAAAGAAGAAAAGTTAACTGTAGAGCTGTATTTCCCCGCTGTCCCTCCCTATAGTTAAATTGTTGTGGTCTTTTATTGGGGTTGAGGTCACCTGCCTAATTTAAAGGGTGGGGGGTGGACTAGCTGAGTTTCGTTATCATTTTGTTTAAGTTCTGGCTAATAGGGCGGAACTCTGGTGAGTTATGTGTTAAATCTCTGGGGGTTTGGAGATGTTTGGTTACAAATGACGTGTTTTAAAGTAAATAAGTTACGTTTGTAATAATTTGTAAACGAAATAAAAGACCACGGCCTTTTCAGCGCACATCTGAGTCTGTGTTTTTTATTATTATATTTCTGTGCCTTACTATGTTATGTATTACTTACCTGTTATGATGTGCCGGTCTGAATTAACCCCTGCTGAGCATGTTACAATAGCACTGCGGCTGTTGTCACATTAGATCATTGCTACTGATGACTTATTCCATATAGTTATCCTTCCACTGGAATGGTGCAGAATGACAGTTCTCATATTGGAATTTACTGAATATGTTGCTACTGCTAAATGTTACAATAATTGTAAATGAAATTGTATAAAATAATATGGTTGCCCCTGGAGATATACAATATTGCTATAAAACTGATGCAATGTAGTAGAGGAGTTATTGGTCTGAATTTGGTGGTTCCAGTCTTGGAGCAAGACATATATCAGGGAAAACCAAATTCCAAAAGCACCCCCATTTTCTTTTTACCTTTATCAATGGTTATTTCATATTTTCTTAAAGCTGTACTCGAAAGATGTGCATACTTCTAGCCAATTTTACATATTCGTTTTAATTAATCACCAAATTAATCCCAATTTTTTTGCTGAAAGTCAAAAATAAAACAAAAAAAGAGAGAGTTGCTGAGGACCAAGCATTTCTGCTAAACCGTAATGTAAAGCGTTTAACATTGACGCAGGTCCCGCTGCACATCAACTCAAGGCACCATAACCACTTCAGATGAAGTGGTTATGGTGTCTACAGCGTCCTATTAAGGATGTCAGAGCACATATAAATAGGTAATTCTTAGCAGTACACATCATCATTTGATGATGCTCCAACTAGTGTTTCTCATTGGGCGATGTGAGACCTAAGCAGCTGCAAAAGGAATATGGAAAGAGGTCCCCAAGATACCACAGGTAACAGATTCATAGAATGTGACGGCAGATAAGAACCATTCGACCCATCTAATCTGCACAATTTTCTAAATACTTTCATTATTCCCTGACCTTATTTTATAGTTAGGATAGCCTTATGCCTATCCCACGCATGCTTAAACTCCTTTACTGTGTTAACCTCTACCACTTCAGCTGGAAGGCTATTCCATGCATCCACTACCCTCTCAGTAAAGTAATACTTTCTGATATTATTTATGAACCTTTGCCCCTCTAATTAAGACTATGTGGTAGTTTTTCTTCTTTTAAATATAGTCTCCTCCTTTACTGTGTTGATTCCCTTTATGTATTTGAATGTTTCTCTCATATCCCCCACTGTCACGTATTTCCTCCAAGCTATACATGTTAAGGTCCTTTAATGTTTCCTGGTAGGTTTTATCCTGCAATCCATGAACCAGAACTGTATAACAAGCTATTAGCGGGTAGCTATGGATACTACTAGAATAGTAATCATTATTGTTATTAAAATTATTTATATAGCTCCAACAAATTCATCAGCTTTGTACAATGGGTAAACTAACAAGTAGTTGCAATAAGACGAGTTGGACGCACAGGAACAGAAGTTGCTGAGGGCCTTGCTCAAACAAGCTTACATTCTAATGGGAGTGAGGTAAAATGACACAAGAGGTAAGAGCAAGATATATTTTGTGTAATGGGGAAGAAGGCTGCAAGAAGACTTTGCAATGAAGGTTTCGTTTATTTAGATGACACAGTTGCAGGAGAGAAGGTGGGTTAGTGAGGTGTGGAGGGAGAAACCTGTTAACAATTTTTATGCCATCTTGAAGTAGTGTGTTTTCGGTGAGTTCTTGAAGAATTGGAGAGATTTACAAAACTAGGAGATTAAGACAGGAAAGGACACATGTTAGGCCAACGTGGCGGAGCTAGCTAGAATAACAGCAGTTAGAGAGATGTTCAAATTCTGCAGTTTTTGCAATTCCCTTGTTGATTCCCCACAATGCACGGTTTAATGAGTAACTTAGAATCTCCTATAATTCCCAGCTCATTGAAGACACTGCAGTAGGAATTGTAGTGAATTTAAATTGATTTCAAAAGTAATTTCAAATTAAAACAGCCATACTGGAAAAATCTCTAAGTCCTCAGTTTGGCTGTTTAGATCTAAAAATGTTTAAATTTACTTAGAATTCCCAACAGTTCACACTGTTCCGATTATTCACGAAAGTGAGAATTGTCAAGGTTTGAAAGTGAAGTCACGGTGAATATCAAATTTAAGGGCAAATCAGGTAAACTGGAAAACCATAGAATTCAACTAATCTGTCAGTATAGATATTTTGGCCTTAAATTTGAAATTCACTGTGAAGAATTCTCTCAATAGGAAATCCCTCCGAACAGTCACTGACAATATGCATGTCTTTTGTAACAACAGAGCATGATATGGCTGCAATATTCCAGTGATATTATGTAGCTATTATTGGAGTAGAGTAATATAGCATCAGAATGCACAGTCATCTAAAACAGGCTTCCCCAAACTCTGGCCCTCCAGATGTTGCTGAACTACAACTCCCATGATTCTATGAATGAAATAATAGGCTTAGAATCATGGGAGTTGTAGTTCAGCAACATCTGGAGGGTTGGAGTTTGGGGGAGCCTGATCTAAAGGGACCTATTCACTAGACTGTAGTGATTATTCAATAAAAACGAAACTTCAGAATTTAGGCAAAAAAGGGCTGATCTGAAAAATTCTTATTCACATTTAGCGATTGATTATTTTAGCCCAGATTTTGCAATTCAGTTTTCAATCCTCTGCAATCACAGTGAGGTGTGTTCTAAGCTGAAAAAATTAAGGTAAATGCCAAATTTAGAAAAATAAACTCCTAAAGTGGGAATGAATCTGTTTTAAATCAGTATACATCCCCCAACAGAGTATCAACTCAGAAATGATAATCTATGGATTTATAGTTTATTTCTATATTTAACTCATTAACACCCAGCCCAAACTTTGTATAACAGGTGTTTCCAGAGGAGCAGGGCTTTTAGTGAGCTGTAGAACAGGTTTAGCTGAATATCTCTGAGAGCAAGGAAGCTTGAAATAACTCCTACATACCTGGGGAAACTTCTAAAGCCTCTGGAGATGCCATGGTTAATGTGCATCTATCCCCAGTTCTATCACTTATTATAGAGATCTGTCCTTAATAAACATTCTAGATTTAAGCATCCTTGAATAGACCTCAAATTTATTTTCAGACTGCTGATTACACACTGAAAACAATATTTTTTTTTCATTCTAACTCCCATCAAGATCAGGCAGCCTACATACAGCCAATCCATTTCAGACTGATGTCAAAAGAACACACAGTTAAGAGCATCTCACTAAGGCACAAAGAAAACAAAAATAATTGGTATTAAGTTGCAGTATATGATCATACATAAGCCTGCCACAATATCAATGTCCCCCAATTTTTGCAGATCTTTTTCCAACAACATAAAGCCTTATTTTATGAGATCGTCACATGTACTTGGGAAATCCTTCCTCCTGGGACTCTCTGCAGTGCAAGGATAGGATAGGGCCCTGGCATAAATCTACTGGGGCACAGGGTACAATATCTTATAAACAGAGAGAGTTGGTGATGTTATCCATTTATCCCAGAAAAATAATTTGTACAGATTCCATGGCTTGCTTAGAGACAAACACCCCATCCTCTAATTGTAAAACACGTCACTATTCATGTACTACCCACCTGGGTTATAATGCCTATGATATACATCGGTGGTGGGTTTTAAAAATACACATTCGGATACAAAAGTAAACAGATCATTTAGAGAAGATTTAGAGACAGTGAATGAATTGGACTTTGTTACTCATTTCTCCAATCTTCCAGTCACAGCTTCCTATGCCTAGTAATTCTACAGTAAAACCTCTAATCCCAGTATTCTCCAGCCCTGCTGCCAATCTCACTAAGGACTGTCACATCAACCAGCCCAAGCAATCCTTCAATCAATATCATCAACCCCAGCCTGTCCAATCACTCCACTTCCCCACTGAGCTATGCAGAAACACACGTCATCTGTGAAGGTGGAACATGGATTTTGGCAATATGTATATAAATCTGGCTTGGAGGCAAAGCACACAGTGATGGTGTAGGGACCTCTGCCGGATTATAGAGTGAGCTGGTGAGTACTTACCTCAATATTTTACTTTTATGGATGATCACACACCTGTCTGAAAACTTTGGTAAAGTTTATATAAGGATAGTGAGTATTTCCATTTAATTGTTTTTGCTTTTAATTGATTTATTAATTTTTTTAATTATTATTATTTCTTTATAACCATAACCACTAAATGTATTTTGACTTTCCCATAGCTGGTATTTAAACATTCTTTATAGGCAGTAATATCCCTCTGTAGTTACTATAGAACATTCAGGTTTATGAATTGCCTGCAGCAGTAACAATTATCTTTGAAGAATAAATCTTCCTATTTACGTTCTTCCCATTATTTAATTTTTTGTTTAAATATATCACTTTTGTAACATTCCAAATCTATAATAAAACCCCGAAAGCTACAATTTTATTCCTTATAATCAACATAACTTCAACCCCACATCACTCTGTTTCTTTCAGATATAAAGTATAACTTTACCATAAGAAGAATATAGATTTTTTTAAAGTAGTTCACCTGCAGAAATTTTTTTTTGAAATACATTTTTATTTAAGATGTTTTTGTGTGTCTGTGCTATTTTTTTCTGTGTTTGCAGTCAGATAGATGAGTGATATTGTTTGATTAATTGTTTGTTTGTTTTTTCATGCTTGTCTTTAAAGACTTGGGATACATTCATGGATTAATGAAATTGTTAAGGCTTGGAGTAGAGGAACGCCTCCCAGTGTCAATTAAACGGTTTGAGCTCAGAGCCTGGTGATCTCTACAGAGTAATTCACAGCTCACAGTGCACTAGCACCAAAGGCAACATTGTCATCACTGAACACAAGATGTTTCTCATTGAATTGAACTTCATGTCCTTCTTTGAGACTGCTCTCACTTCAGTCCTGTCTGTGCTCTTTCTCCTGGCTGTATCTCACCAGTTGTGGTCCTTAAGGTGGCACAGTACTAGGGACAGAGGATGCAATCTACCCCTTCCTAAAGGCTCAATGGGATGGCCATTTTTTGGGGAGACATTGCATTGGCTTGTTCAGGTAAGAATCACTTCTAATCTGCTAGATTCTAATTGCTGTAGAATGTTGACATTTTAAATATCCCACTTCCCCTGTTATAACAAAGTAACAGACCTGGGTGTACGTGTTTTACATGTGATTATATTGATTAAATTAGATTTGGGTTAGATGAATATTTGAAGCATTCTTTCTCCTAAATTATAGTTCTTCTAAGTGGCTAGAAATCTGGGTTTTAGGATCTCATGCTGAGCTCTGGATTTAAATGCTAGATGCTTCTCCATCAATGGACTGGACGTGATATAGGGTTTATTACAGGGGTCGGATTTCCACAGTTCAAGAAGAGAGAGATATGGCAATATATTCAAGACCCATCTTCTGGGGAAGCCAGTAATCCGTGTAACTGGAGCAGAGAACATCCGCAAGATCTTACTAGGAGAACACAGCCTTGTGAGCACCCAGTGGCCCCAGAGCACCCAAATCATCCTGGGGTCCAACACTCTAGTGAACTCTATTGGGGACCTTCACAGACAGAAGAGAAAGGTAAAGCAGCGCCTTGCATGCTGTCATTGTAGTTATTGCAATGTGTGGAGAGCCTGTCACTTGTAGCCCATTCTAGTCAGTAACTAGCCAGAAGGGTGTTAGGAATGTGGCCCCTGACTGCAGGGAGCTGCTAGTCTCTATTCACATGTAATGACCTCATTGCAATCCCTTTGTAAAACATTACTTGTAGCCCTTATCTGTAGGGCCCCTCCAGCTGCGGATGGCTGAGGGTTCTGAGAGTTGTAGAGCAATAGCCAGTGACATTTGTGTAAAGGAGAAGGCTCAAACATGAATTGTTCTTGTTATGAAGATGCTCTGGATCTGCAGCTGAAGGTGGACTTTGTACGTTAAATGACTGCACTTCTTATTTATCTTGGATTCAAGTTTTCCAAGTGTGAAAAGTCACAATATCTGAATATATCTCTATCTGGTGTTTACACCACCTGCAGTCACACTGATATATAGAAATAAAATGTGTAGACCCAAATCACAGATACACAGAGTTAACCATCCTTCTTCCCAATCAAACACCTGTCAGCTGAATGGACCGTAGGAAAGTTATCTGCACTGTGCTTTTATCTAGATCCAATACATACACAGTATATCATTTATATACATTTATTATAGAATCCCAGATAGAGCTACAATATTGGAATGGCAGGCAGCATTCCCCTTGTATTGCAGTTATATGATGACATCTACCTGAGAAAGATTCATCGGTTTACCTGTAAACCATCTAGTAGTAAACACACTTAATATTAAAAAACACTGAATACGACATTAATATTAAGAAATTATTTATAAAAAAAAAAATGTAAAAAAAAAAAATCTAAATATTTTACCATCTAGTTATGTACTGAAAAGTGTGTCATATAGATATTTTCATAAATGCAGAATATGGTGTATGCAGATTTTTAACATTATACCAACAATATTTTCCAAATATCTACTACACACACACACACACACACACACACACTATTATATATATATATATATATATATACACACACACACACACACACACTATTATATATACACACACACACACACACAATATTTACTATGTGTAGAGAGAGATGCATACAGGTAGAACTATACAGAAATACTTTATGTTGTAAAATATCGATATTTGTCAAATATGGGTAAGGTGGCAGATAGATTTAAGAATAGAAACATCGTTTTAAACAGGAAAATATTATGTTAATTGCAGTGGCTCTTTGTGTGTGTAGAATGGTTATTTGTAAAATATAGATACATTGATCAACAAAGTGTTTGTAAATAGAAATTTAGCTAAAGTGTATGTATTATAGAATATGTAGTGCATGTGTGTGGATAGGTATTTAAGTATATCTAGATGTGTGGGTATATATTTGGGATGTTGCGATAGGGAGAGATAGGGCGCTAAATAGATAGTTGAAGGGTTCAGGTGTGTGAATAGATAATTGGAAGCGTTAGGTGTTTAAATATACATATTTGGAGGGCTAAGGTGTGTCGAGAACATTTGGCGATTGCGGTATGCGGATACATATTTGGATGGGTGTGAAGATAGGGTTGAGGTGTGGGTGGATATTTAGAGGGTTTAGGTTTGTGAATGTATATTTAGAGGGTTTTGGTGTGTGGAGAGATATTTGGAGGGTTGTGGAGAGATATTTGGAGGGTTGTGGAGAGATATTTGAAGGGTTTTGGTGTGGAGAGATATTTGGAGGGTTTTGGTGTGTGTGGAGAGATATTTGGAGGGTTGAGGTATGAGGATGGATATTTGAAGGGTTATGGAGAGATATTTGGAGGGTTTGGGTGTGGAGAGATATTTGGAGGATTGTGGATAGATTTGGAGGGTTTTGGTGTGTGGAGAGATATTTGGAGGGTTGTGGAGAGAGATTTGGGGGATTCTGGATAGATATTTGGAAGGTTGAGGTGTGTGGATGGATATTTGGAGGGTTGTACAGAGATATTTGGAAGATTGGAGGTGTGTGGATGGATATTTGGAGGGTTGTACAGAGATATTTGGGAGGTTGAGGTGTGTGGATGGATATTTGGAGGGTTGTACAGAGATATTTGGGAGGTTGAGGTGTGTGGATGGATATTTGGAGGGTTGTACAGAGATATTTGGAAGATTGAGATGTGTGGAGAGATATTTGGAGGGTTGTGAAGAGATATTTCAGAGATTTCAAAGAGTGTCATTCTCTTCCTCTGATTGTCCCACTTCCTGCCCAGATCATGGCTAAGGTGTTCAGCCACTCTGCCCTAGAGAGCTACCTCCACCGGATCCAGGAGGCGGTGAGTGGGGAGATTCATGCCTGGTGCCGGGAGTCGGACTGTATAGCCGTGTACCCCTCATCCAAAGCCATGACTTTCCGCATTGCCGCCCGCATCCTTCTGGGGCTCAGTCTGGGGGACCAACAATTCAAAGAGCTGGCCAAAGTCTTCGAGCAGCTGGTGGAGAATCTCTTCTCATTGCCCCTGGACATCCCATTTAGTGGGCTTCGAAAGGTAAGCTGGCCTCTTAGGGCAATAGATGGTAATAATATATGACCCAACATATGATAATGTTCTAAGAGCATCCAACATGGCCATGGCAATATTACAAAAATATATCTCTCTCACCTCCATTAATTAAAGAACAACTGATACCATAATATGTACTTTAAATCCCTCGTTTCACTTTAATTGGATCTGTCAGACTAGATAGATAGGTGAAGGTAATAGAGAATAGAGTAACTACCCAGATAGTGTATACAAAGATTGGATGGGCATACTATACAGATTGGATACATATAGAACATTGTATACATAGTGGCTGCATGTAAAGTAGAGCTATTGTATGTACATAGAAATGACACAGAGAATATACACATATAGAGAAACAATGAATATACAGAGAAATGACACAGAGAATAGACACATATATATATGGAGATACATTGAATATACAGAGAAGATACGTGGAGTACAATGGAAACATACATGAAGATCCATATTTAAAGAGACAATAGAAATTTGATACATTGAGAGGTAAATTAAACACAGAGAGCCGGTCAGAAAAGTAGAGAAAGAGACAGCTAGTTAATGTGGCCAGTGACTGTGAGCCCACACTGGCTCTCTATAGATCAGTACTGAGTACACACAGCCCATGTATCCTCACACGATCAGTGCAGGGTACAAATTACTGCATTACTTATCGATTCTAGCAATGCCAGACAGAATGACAAGCAACAGAAACCAGCTGGGCTGGCTTAATGTTATGTGTGGCTGTCCCTTTAAACACTTAATTCATGTGGACAAAATAAAATAGTGAGTTACTGAAACTACTACTGAGAATGCCATACACTATGTCTAAACACTCTTGCTCTTTCTCTCCTGTCTCTCATATATATATATATATATATATATATATATATATATATATATATATATAGATAGATAGACAGGGCTTTATATAACATTTCCAGAAAGGGATAGGTTACATAGATATTTAATTAATAGACAGTTTGTAGAATCTTGGATCTGGGCTTCTTAAAATCTAATGACAATTAGTTTTGGGTCAGTCTGTGTTCTTGCAGTAATGGTACCTGTCTGACCAGGAAGAGGGGTGGGGGCAGGGGTCCTGTTATTACAATGGATCACCCATCATTTATACTGTGCTGTAAATAATACGGTCCTTTTATTCAATTTTTTTCTTTAAAGTAAATTTATGTGTTTTTTTTTTTTTAAATATATATTTTTTAATGAAATTTCCCTCCATGATTAATTTATTTTACATTGTAGTGGGCAGGGGTCCCAGTCTCACTTAGTGATGGCATTGTAGAAAACCTGGACACAGGCCTGCTTTACCTTCGCTGCTATTGGACTGAAACTCCCATTAACCACATTAAATGGGTGTAGGAGTCCATATAGGAGAATGAGAGGGATCCCATTCTAAGCCCATCCCAGTTACTGCCCAATTAGCAATTCGATTTAAAGGTGTAGTACTAATTAGCTAATCACTCTCTGCTTCCCCAGGGGATTAAAGCCAGGGATACTTTGCACCAATATATGGAGGAAGCGATTAAACAGAAGATATCGGGACGAGATGCAGATGTGTGCGAAGAAGATGCATTAGATTATTTGATAAATAGCGCCAAGGAGAATGGGAAAACGCTCAGCATGCAGGAGCTTAAGGTATTGCATTTATTTCTACTGACAGCAGGGGGGGAGGGGGTTAAATCCTTAACCCCTGCATTCTATTACACAGGGGACTGGGGGGATGGGAGGGGGTACGATAATACAACCACTCAGATTAAATTATTTTACTTGCCTTCAATTTTACTGAACTTGATTTTTTCCCCAAAACAAAAATATTAATTTTTTAAAAATCTATACTGTTGCAAATAGTACTCAGCCATTAGTTGCCCACAAAGTGCAATACTGCATGCCACTTTTTGCGGATAAATATTATTTTTACATACAAAGAGTAATGGCCAGATACTGAAATACAAAAAAATAGCAAATAACGTTCTATGACAGATACTCAGAACGTTCTATATCAGATACTCCGTAACATTCTGTGACAGATCCTCAGTAACGTTCTGTGACAGATACTCAGTAACGTTCTATATCAGATACTCAGTAACCTTCTGTGACAGTCAGTAACGTTCTGTGACAGATACTCAGTAACCTTCTGTGACAGATACTCAGTAACGTTCTATATCTGATACTCAGTAACCTTCTGTGACAGTCAGTAACGTTCTGTGACAGATACTCAGTTCTGTGACAGATACCTTCTGTGACAGATACTCAGTAACGTTCTATATCTGATACTCAGTAACCTTCTGTGACAGTCAGTAACGTTCTGTGACAGATACTCAGAACGTTCTGTGTAACAGATACGCAGAACGTTCTGTGACAGATCCTCAGTAACGTTCTATATCAGATACTCAGTAACCTTCTGTGACAGTCAGTAACGTTCTGTGACAGATACTCAGAACGTTCTGTGACAGATACGCAGAACGTTCTGTGACAGATCCTCAGTAACGTTCTATATCAGATACTCAGTAACCTTCTGTGACAGTCAGTAACGTTCTGTGACAGATCCTCAGTAACGTTCTGTGACAGATACTCAGTAACGTTCTATATCAGATAATCAGTAACGTTCTTTGACAGATACTCAGCAACGTTCTATGACATACTCAGTAACGTTCTATATCAGATACTCAGAAACGTTCTGTGACAGTTACTCAGTAATTCTATATCAGATACTCCGTAACCTCCTGTGACAGTCAGTAACGTTCTGTGTTAGAATCTCAGTAACCTTCTGTGACAGTCAGTAACGTTCTATGTCAGATACTTAAAGTTCTATGTTAGAATCTCAGTAACGTTCTACATCAGATACTCGGTAACGTTCTGTGTCAGATAGTAACGTTGTGTCTCAGATACTATAACGTTCTATGTTAGAATCTCAGCAACGTTCTGTCAGATAGTAACGTTCTATGTTAGAATCTCAGCAACGTTCTGTGTCAGATATTCGGTTACGTTCTATGTCAGATAGTAACGTTCTGTGTCAGATACTCTAACGTTCTATGTTAGAATCTCAGTAACGTTCTATGTCAGATAGTAACGTTCTATGTTAGAATATCAGCAACGTTCTGTGTTAGAATCTCAGTAACGTTCTATGTCAGATAGTAACGTTCTATGTTAGAATCTCAGTAACGTTCTATGTTAGAATCTCAGCAACGTTCTATGTTAGAATCTCAGTAACGTTCTAGATCAGGTACTCGGTAAATTTCTGTACTCATGTGTCAGATACTCAATAGTTCTGTGTCAAATAGTATTTCTGCGTCACATACTAAGTTAGATTTGTATCATATACTCTGTATTCCGTAACATTATGAGTCATAGACTCGTAGTATTTCTGTGTCCTATAGTATTTCTATGCCAGGTACTCAGTAACGTTCTGTATTTGCAGGAGACGGCGATAGAGTTATTATTCGCTGCGTTCTTCACCACAGCTAGCGCTAGTTCTTCTCTCATCCTGCTGTTGCTGAAACACCCGTCAGCCATTCAGAAAATCAGACAGGAGCTGATATCGCAAGGACTTCACAAGCAGTGTCAATGTGGGTACCAGTCTTCTTCTGAAAACCCCAACAACAACATTCCATCACTTTCTGACCACGTCCTCTTAAATGGTCCATGTCAGACCAGTGGTTGCCATTTGCCCATGATCCTGAGATCTGAAGGACATGTGAAGGACATCTGGGATCAACCTAACTGTATGTTGGTGGGAAAAAACCAAAGGGACATCATACAGCCTGTGTACAGGAGGACCCAAAATAACATCAATTGTGAAGAAAAGTGCAATGAATCAATCTACAAACAAAATACATCTTCCAATGACTTGAATTATACTAACATGCAAGGATGGAGGTCTGGATGTGCATGTGAACTGAGTCTCAGCCTGGACAAATTAAAGGGACTTCATTACCTGGACAATGTGGTCAAGGAGGTCCTCAGGTTGTTGCCACCAGTTTCTGGAGGCTACAGAACAGCCCTTCAAACTTTTGAATTGGATGTAAGTACAGCAAGGACCCTCTCATCATATAGAATACATTTCTTGTACTCTGAGATTAAATACATATTAAAATGATAATTAAAGACTACAACAAACTCGGTTAGAGAAGTCATTTATCTGAGCACCTTACTGCTTTAACAGTTTTAGAAGAATTAAAAAAATAAAGACCAAGTAGGATTCAGGTTGTTAAAAATGACAGATATGATAGTGCTACTCTGTCGCCCTCTTTCGGTTGAAATGGGAATTCATTTTCCTTGTCGAGAGATAGGAAGGGAATTATCCCTAGACTCGCTCTGTGTAATAGATCCAGTCTGTGCAGTTAAAGAATCAAAGCTTGAAGACAAACCAGGGACAGTGTAAGATTCCCAGGAGGCTTTGGCTCAGGTAGACCCAGCATAGAATATGGGAATTTGCAGTGTGTTAAGACCAGCCTTTACTGTGAGTGGATACAGGATTTCCAGATAGTAATTTGTATCATTTACTGAACGCAGGTAATAAATGAAGATAATGAATATACTCACAATTGATAGATAGATGGATGGATGCAGAAAGTGGAGAAAATATTTTATCAATAAAAATAATAATATTGATTAGTATAGATTTTTCAGAGCAATAAACTTAAAAAAACAACTAAGGTGGTTGATATACTCTGTTTGATTTGGACTAATTTTAAAATATATTTTTTCAAATAGGAGATTAAATATTCTAGTTATTTTAAATTCTCATACATACTCCTCTATGACCAAGTACTTTGTTTTAGAAATATCAGCATAACAATGAGACGTGAAAGTTAGTTACAGGCCGCTGTTCAGGGATACAAAAAAAATAATGGAACTGTGTAAATGTTACCATTTTTAATTCCAACGTATTCATTCTCTGGGGAATAAAAATCTAGCGATTATATAGCATGCATTACTCTGTAGAATTTCAGGCAGGGTTTGAAACATTAAATGTAGGAGAAATAACAGTGGTGTCACATGTAGTAGGTGTGATTAAATATAAAGAGTCAATACTCTATTTTTTTGTTATTTGTAGGGAACCTGATGGAGTTTTCAAAATGTAGCTTCCCGAAAATGCCAATAGAATGTAAAACTATAATGCCTCCATACTGTACATGGCTTTAAAAGTTGCTATTGCAGTCTGCAAATAATCCCTCACTCAGTGTGTTAAGAGCTCTTTCCCTTCTTTACTGTTAAAAAGCGTGCTGTATGGATATGGAAATCAAAAGGAATAAAACAAAAATTGTGCTGTAGTTATGGTGCCTGGAGAGCCCTGGGCGCCACCTCCTCCCCCTCCCTCCCATTGTATGGAGTCAAACCATTTTAGAATGGTTTGATTTCTTACATGGAGTCCATTGAGGGTCGTCTACAGCTCATTGAGAGTGCAAGGAGCTTCTATTAGCTCTCCAGAGCTAAGGGCTCGCACACTGACTGACAGTGCCAGCTGATTGCTCTCAGCCAATGAGCTAAGCTCCGCACTGCATGTCTTAGCTCAATGAAGATAGAGTTTTTGTCTCTCATTGAGCTGTAGTGGACGCATGGAGCAGAGCCAAGTGGACCCCAGTTAAGAAGTCAAACCATTCTAAAACAATTTTACTGCCAACATTGTTGCCAAGAATTTGCAAATCACTTGCACAATGTTGGATAATATATCCGACATGAAAAAAGTCTTAATGTTGGCTATTTGCAAAAGGCAAGTTAGTTGCCAAGTTTAATTTTTTTGTGTTTGCTACACACAAGTAGTTATAGTCATATAGGCAGGATAAGACAAAAAACCATGATAACCTCACCTTTCATACAATCATGAAAACAACTCTGCAATATATATCCCTTCTGATCAATGGGACCCGGGACATGTCCCTCCATTTTCTATGATGCAATAAAAGGTTGTTAACATAAGCAGAACAAAATAGCATTGCTTTTAAAGGTACTTTCATGTCTATTTTTTTCACCACCCAATCTTTAACAAAAGTTTAATTAAAGTTTTAGTAATTCACGTTGTATGCTACATACATATATACATATATATGAGTAGAGTGTTCCTTTAATAGAAATTTAGTGTCCACAAGTCATTACGCTCATATCAATATTCCCTAATTTTATTTTCATTTTCCTGTTTTCCCCCACCACAGGGTTGCCAGATTCCTAAGGGCTGGAGTGTGATGTATAGTATCAGAGATACACATGAAACGGCTGAAGTCTACAAAAATGCGGAGCTCTTTGATCCAGACCGATTTGGTCCAGAAAGAAATGAAGGGAAAATTGGACGGTTTAACTATATTCCTTTTGGAGGGGGAGTTAGAAGTTGCATCGGAAAAGAGTTAGCGCAAACGATTCTCAAAATCCTGGCTATTGAGCTTGTGGGCACGGCTAAATGGGAACTCGCCACACCAAACTTCCCCAAAATGCAAACTGTGCCTATAGTTCACCCAGTTGATGGACTTCAGGTTTTTTTCAGGTTTTTGGGTTCTACTGAAAACGACAGGATGTCAAAAAAGGCGTGATTATCTGGACTTTGAACAATGTGTCCTTACTGTTCAGACTTTTCAAAGTGGGCACAAGAAGGGGCAAGCGTTACGTTGCCCAATATTTTGGCACTCAAGATTATTTTGTCAATTTCTGCAACAGTGTATGAACAATCTGTTATGTAGTCACGTCCAGGAACACAAACCGAAATACTAAAAAACAAACAAAATAAAAAACCCCAACAGATTATACTATTTATAATGTAATATTTATATGTCAGCTAGTTATAAAAGACAATGGACAATATTGAGTTAAAGGAGCTATGGAAGATATTTTATTCACTTGCATGGTATATTGTAAGATGTAACTGTATAATCAGCACTAACATAATGTTACTAAAAATTTATGGCTAGGTTAAAGAAGAAATATATTCAGAACTTGCCTTAAAAAAAGAAAAAAACTTTTATATATATATATATAAATAAATGGTTGCTCCGGATACAGTCCATGCAATGAAATCTTGACTCATTATGGAATTTGTTATGAAATGCATTGTTACATTATTGCCTAGACACTGATAAGTCGGACTTCGGCCGCTGTAAAATTAAAAATCGCACAATGCTGAGCCAGATTTGAAGATTTCAGCTAGCTAAACACAAATAGTGGGGAGATTGATCAAGGCGCCATGTTCTGAAAAGTGGTACACATCCAATTTTATCAATTACGTACCCTGTATATTGCAATTCCAATGACGCCTCTCTCTTTTTTCGTCCTACAGCAAACACAGATATGGGAAGTGTAAAAAAAGCAAGACCCAGGAAGACTCCTTTCTTGATTGTGTGACCATTGCCCCAACCTCAACGTAAACTATTATTTATTTCTGAGGAAGTCTCAGAATGTGATGAAACACCATTGAGGTTGTGTTCGTGGGCACCAAAAGAAGCAGAAAGCTGAAGTACCAAGTAGCTTGCAAGTGGATCAGCTGTAGAGCTGGTGAATTGTGTGTTTAACACAAGAGCCATATTTGCACTCAATTTTATCAGTGCTTCTTACTTTGTATTAGTTTATGTAATAACATATTTCTGTTTATGTCATTTTAAGAGTACATTTAAAGGACCACTATAGGTCCCTCTAGTATCAACTCTGCAGCCGAAAACATAGTTTCCGATAAACTGCTATGCTTCACTGAGTGTTAATCCAGCCTCTTGTGGCTGCCTCACTGACAGCTGCTAGAAGCGCTTCCGCGATTCTCACTGTGAAAATCACAGTGACAAGACTCTGGACGTCCATAGGAAAGCACTGAGTAATGCTTTCCTATGGGTGGTTTGAATGCGCGCACGGCTCTTGCCACGCATGTGCATTCGGCACTGACGTTGGCAGGAGGAGGAGAGGTCACCAGCGCTGAGGAAGCCAGACACTATAGAAAGTTAAGTGGTTGAAGGGTTTTAACCCCTTCAGTCCAGCGGGAGCGGGGCCCAGAGGATGGGGGGGGGGGGCCTAACGACCCTATAGTGCCAGGAAAACAAGTTTGTGCTTCTTTAAATAGAGTTTATTGAGCTCCAAAATTGGCACTAGAAGAAAGGTGTCTTCCTGTGCCCTGCTACTCTATACTTCCCACATCCGCGCTTGCTTTTAGATGATAAAGAGAGAAGAGTCTTTGGAACTGGAGCAAACCAGGTAAATAATTTATATAAATGGATGTATACCACTTTTCAGAAAACAATGGCTTGATAAGTCTCCCCACCCTTTGCGCATCCCTTGTTGTTTATTCTGGCATTACCAATGCAATGAGCCAGCTACTTTAACTTTATTCCATGGTGATTACCCTACTTTTGGTACTTTACTTTGTTTTGGTTTTTATACAGTTTCTCCAATGTAGAAAGAAGTCACAGGTATAATTTGGTAGAGTATTTTTTGACCTTCTGTTGTGGAGGTTAAAGAAAACATTTCTTCCACTGGACATTTCAGCGGGCGCCAAGAACTCATAACATTTACTCCCTTCAACTAAATTTTTTATACTTACTTGGTAGTTTATTCATCAAATCTGTAACTATGGAGATCTGATATGGGAATTTCAAATTCTAAGCCAGTACAAAAGAATTGAAAACATTGCCATATCTCCTACTTTGGCTTACAATTTCTAAGTCTTAGGTTAAACTGAGTTTATAGGTCTGCAATCATTTATATGTCCATTCTCCCCAATTACTTGACTTTTGGATCTGCTAAAGGGCTGTCTAATATTGTTACTGAGATATCTTCCTCCCCCACTTCTGATGACATTTTGTTCAACGGAATAAGGTCATAGCCGACAACTGCATTCATCGCTACAGCCTAAACTACAATGGAAATAAACTAAGTAAGAGAGAGAGGTGTCTGCACCCTCAGACTAGGCCAAAGGGATCGGAACTTCATGGACCCCTTGTTTGCATTGCACAGCAACCCTTATGCATTGCATAGGCGTGCGCACGGGGTGTGCCGGGTGTGCCGGGGCACACCCTAATCCCTGCGGCCCGCGCTATGTGCCTCCATGGGCCGGTGAGGGAGATCAAAGATCTTCCTCATCGGCCCTTAGGGAGGGAGGGAGGCAGGAGAGGACCCGGGGAGCTCTAGCCAGCAGCTCCGCCAGGTTCCTCTTGCGAGGTTGGAGTGTTGCCGCGGGCTAGAGTTCACTCACCACTGGACAACCAGGGATATCATCAGCACGGTCCCCCCTCCCTTCTTACCTTTTGTAGGGCTATTTCCTAAACGGTCCCCCCCACCACCACAGTCCCTCCAAACAAATACACACAAACAGCACCCTCACACACGCAGCACCAACACACACACACCGCACCCTTACACACACACACATCACCCTCACAAACACACACCGCACCCTTACACACACACCACCCTCACACACACAGCAGTGTGTGTGTATATATATATATATATATATATATATATATATATATATACACACACACACACACACACACACACACACATACATACACACACACGGCGTGTGTGTTTGTGCTTTAGGGTGGACACCCTTATGCAATAGGCTGTGCACGCCTATGATGCATTGCACATCCAACTCATGAAATTCATGCTTTTTGACCTATTTAAACCCATCCTTAATGAAAAGGACATGAAAGTAATACAAATAAAAAAATAAATAAAGCCAACTGTGTATAAAAATATCATTGTATTGTTAATTTGACAAGTTTGCCACATTCCCTTCCAAGTCATAATGTATTTCTGTTGGTAGATGAATATGAAATCAGATTAATCTAATGCAAGCTGTAAATACAGACTTTCAGGGCATCTCGATGTCCACAAATTAATTTCCAGGAAGATTTTGCTCATACTCCAGTTGTTGATATTGATACAACAATGCTTCGTGGAAATAGGCCTCATCAACTATATAAAGCGTTACTATGTCATCACTGCCTGTCTGAGAGAGGATACAAGTCTGAAATGATTTTCCACATAATAAATGCATCTTCTCTCCAATTGGGAATATGAAAGATGTTTAAAAGTAAGAAGGCAGGTATTATGATAAGACTATTAGCATAAAGAAATTATTTTTAAAATAAATACACGTGATATAAGTGATAAATCCTACATAAAATACGGGAGCGCTGAATAGTTAACATGTTATTTTGCTTACCCTTATGGCTTGGATAAAACAGGAATACATGCCAGATATATAAAAACAGAAAAAAAAAGAAACCTGTATAGAATAGATGGCAACTGGAGTATTGGTGTGCAAATAATAGTTAGATTCACTCACATGTACAGGACCCTGAATGTGATGGCTCGGTAAATAACACCTTTTTGTAGTATCACACCTTCCTTCTGTAATATATAGGAAAACACGGCCACAGTATATGTATATAATATAAGATACAGCCTCAATGTAATATTTGTGTATGAGCAGGGCCGGTGCTAAATAATTACCGCCTTAGGCAAGACCAGTTACTTGTACTCCCTCCGCAAAACAAAACTTGCCAAATTTGTACAGTGAGGGAAAAAAGTATTTGATTCCCTGCTGATTTGGAACTTTTGCCCACTGACAAAGAAATGATCAGTCTATAATTTTAATGGTAGGTGTATTTTAACAGTGAGACAGAAAAAAAAAATAGTAAACAAATTAGTACTTGGTGTCAAAACGCTTGTTGGCAATCACAGAGGTCAGACGTATCTTGTAATTGGCCACCAGGTTTGCACACATCTCAGGAGGAATTTAAAGTCCCATATAAAGTCCAAATGTCAGCAATTTGGACTTTATATTGGACTTTAATTGCATCTTTACAAAATATATTATATGTTTTTATTTATCAATACATTTTTATTTTATTTTTATACGCTATTCCAATCAAGTCCTTGAAGACTCAAAGAATCTTCACTGGGGATGTGCCATCCCCAGAAAATTGGCATTCTGCTAATTATCCTCAGAGCCAGACATTGAAGGCTCTGAAAAAGGTGAGTGTAATATTTACCAACAGGAGATTTATCTGAATTTGTACAATATCCCACATTGGTCGCTTCTCCCTTTTTTTTGTATTTCTTTTGGAAGAAACGTCATTGAGTGAGTGGTGTGTTGCTGCCCTAAAAGCAAAGAGGTCCATTTTACAGAGCCAATATTATATAGGCGCCATACCATGTGAGTGGCTCTAGTTATTTATCTAGTAATGATTAGTATTCTCAAGACCATTTACACTATATATTATTTTCTCTGTTCTTTTTCTTTTCCTATGTACCTTCAATTTTGTTATTACACAATATTCATGGGGAAAGTCAACCCCTGCACATGTTGTGTTTTTTATTCACTTATTTATTAGCGCTCCACTAATTGGTATATAGTTTTATACCATATATTGTGTTTTTGTTTAAAATTGATTGTGGAGATAGGGGTATTCCACTTTACGTGTTGAGCGGCTCATTGTATAGGCACTTTACTGTAACACTCACTACCTCCAAGTAGAGGTAGATTTTGTTTGTTTGGCTTCAGGATTTCAGTCCTTCACGGCGTAGTGTTTTACCAATTTTTTTCCTGGTGTCTATAGTCCCTGCTGCCTTAAGATCATTAACAAGATCCTCCTGTGTAGTTCTGGGCTGATTCCTCACCGTTCTCATGATCATTGAACTCCACGAGGTGAGAACCTGCATGGAGCACCAGACCGAGGGAGAATGACCGTTATTTTGTGTTTCTTCCATTTGCAAATAATCGCACCAACTGTTGTCACCTTCTCACGAAGCTGCTTGACGATGGTCTTGTAGCCCACTACAGCCTTGTGTAGGTCTACAATCTTGTCCCTAACATCTTTGGTCTTGGCTATGGTGGAGAGTTTGGAATCTGATTGATTGCTTCTGTGGACAGGTGTCTTTTATGCAGGTAACAAGCTTTGATTAGGAGCACTCCTTTTTAAGAGAATTCTCCTAATCTCAGCTCGTTACCTGTATAAAA